AATGCAGCTGTCTATGGCAGGATAGCTGCCAGCCTGGCCACCAAAGTCCACATGCGAGCCCAGGAGCAGGTTTGCATGAAAATCAAGTTGGGCTGGTGAGACCCCCAACCGAACCCTGAGGTAGCCTCTGCTTCCTCCTTCCAGTTCCCCCTCCCCTCTCCCGCCTCCTTTCCCCAGTCTCACCAGAGTTTCATTGCCCCCTCCCCCGCTAGTTTTGTTAAAGAGAGTTTGTGTTCATGAAAATGTGTGTATTTTATTTGACATCAGGAAGAGGAGTTAGGGAGAGGTAAGTGGAAGGACGTGAGGGAGGAATGAGACACAAGCCCCCAGTGGGGCAGACCAGGGAGGCTCTTAGTGCTCCTGAGGGTGGAAGCTCTCGCACAGTGCCTCCTGGATACTGACAGCCCCCCGATGGACCTCCCGGGTGGCAGCCTGCAGAAAGTGCAGCCAGGCTCGTAGTAACACGTCCACAAGAAGCACCAGAGTGCCCAGGGGCAGCTCTGGCTCCATGTTGCCAACTGCTATAGTGTCCCGAGTGAGGGCAACCACAGCACGCAGACACAAAATGCTTTGCTGTCCCTCATCGAGGTAGGCAAGCAAGCAGGGAAAGCTGAGAAGCGGCTGTACAGGAGGGGTCTCTTTAAGCACAGGCCTCAGATAGCCTCAGGCAGCAGCCATACAAAGTAACTCCTGACCTGATACCCTGCCAGACCTGGTTGCGGCCAATCTTAAACGCGATTCAGCGTCCACTGTGTGGATGCATTATTTTGAAATAGCTTATTTCAAAATAGTTAACTTGAACTAAGTTATTTTGAAATAATGCTGTAGTGTAGACATACCCATACAGTTTAGAGCCTGTCAGTACATGTAATGCTTTATCATGCCTGGAATGTAAGGTATGAGTTGTACATACATGAGTTTGGGGAGAGTTTGCTTAAAATTACATACCATTTATATAATGGTATACCAGTGGTCCCCAACGCGGCACCCGCCGGGGCATTTATGTGTGCCCGCAGAATGATCTGGGCTGGCCCCGCCCCTGGGCGTGTAGCACATGCATGATGCCGGCCATCGTCAGACCCTGCCCCGGCCGCACGGCACGTGAGCAGCCCCGCCCCCAGACGCCCAGCAGGCCCAAAAGGTTGGGGACCACTGTGGTATACTATGGAATAGATTGTATCTAAACAACATTTTGTTTTAAGCATTAAACATTTTTTTCCAAGAGCTCCATGGTCCAGTGTCAGGCTAGAATATTTCTTCAGTATGAACTCAAGAGAGGAGAGCCACATAAAAAGACTGTTGTTCTTCGATGTGTTGCTTATGTCCATTCCACTTAGGTGTGCATTGGCCGCATGCATGAATCCCAGAACTTTTTTACCCTTAGCAGTACCCGTTGGGCCACCCAGGGAGCCCCCTAGAGTGGCACCAGTATGGCTGCGCTTATATGTCCCTGCTGGCCCCAACTGCCCTCAGTTCCTGCTTGCTGGACAGTCCAACTAAGGAGAGGTGGGCGAAATTGGAATAGACATCTCGAAGAAGAGTTATAAGATAAGTAACTGTCTTTTCTGCGAGTGCTTGCTTATGTCCATTCCACTTCAGTGATTCCCAAGCCCCTCCGCCAAGGTGGGGTCAGAAGCCTAAAGAGAAACGGACTGCAGCCCACAGTTGGATCTTGCCTAGCCTGTTGCATGATTGCATAGTGGGTAATGAATTTGTGGACCCAGGACCACATGGCCACCCTACAGGTGTCTAGAATTGGCACTTGTGCTAAGAACACCATGGATGATGTCAAGGCTCTGGTGGAATGGGCTGTGAGATGAGGCACTAGTTTCCCCTTCAGGTCATAGCATGCCCTGATGCAAGCAGTAATCCAAGAGGACAGACACTGAGCTGACACTGGGCAACCTTTCATCCTGTCTGCTATAGAGACAAATAGCTACATATTTACGGAATTGTCTTGTTCTTTCCAAATAAAAGGCGAGTGCCCTCCTAACGTCCAGCGTGTGTAATGCTTGTTCTTTCCCATCTGCATGAGGTTTGGGGTAGAATACTGTGAGGATAATTTACTGGGACATGTGAAACAGGGACACTACCTTGGGCAGAAAGACTGAGTGTGGGTATAGGATCACCCAGTCCTTTGAAAGCACTGTATATGGTGGCTCCGAAGAGAGGACACGTGGCTCCAAAACCCTTCTAGCTGAGGTGATGGCCACCAAGAAAGCCACCTTCCAGGATAGGGTCTTCCACCAAGAGATTCCGCAGGGTGGTGTACCAGTGTTGCCTGAGCCATGCTGGAGCAATGAGGATCAGTGTTGCCCTGTCTCTTCTGACCCTTCAGAGTACCTCGTGAATCAAAAGGGGGGGGGGGAGGAGGTATAGAAGGTCCTTCGGCCACCAAATCACTTCAGCATCCCCCACTGACCCCAGTTCCATCCCGTGGTACAAGCAGAACCTGGGGCACTTTGTTGCCCCTCAATGTAAAGAGGCTGGGGGGAGTACCCCACCTGTGGAAAAGGGTGCCAACTGCCTCCCTCTTGAGAGACCACTCATGAGCAGAGAACACTCTGCTGAGCCAATCAGCCAGAGTGTTTCAGGATCCTCGAAGGTGGGTTGCCTGTAGATGTATACTGTGTGTAATGCATAGCTCCCAGAGGTCTATTGCCTTCCGGCAGAGGGAAGAGGAGCAAGCAACACTCTCTGTTGATATAGCACATTGCTGCTGTGTTGTCCATCTGGACAGAAGCACAGTTGCCCCTCAAACAGGGGAGGAATATTAGGCAACCAAGCCACACTGCCCTCAGTTCCCTGACATTGATATGCAATTTTCTCTCAGCCTCGGACCACATACCTTGTATTCGTAGTTCCACAAGGTGGGCTTCCCAGCTGGCATCCCTGAAGAGGGATGGGGAAGGGGGGGAGGGGGCAGAAGGAAGGGAGAGATGGGGCAAGGGGTTATTCTGTTCCATTCCTAACGGCTAGGACCCAGCAGTCTGAAGTGATATAGCTCTCCAGGCATGCTGGAAAGGGGATAGCTTGTCCAAGAAAGGGCGATTTAGTACTGGGGCTGGTGCATCATCCTCAGCTGTATCTTCAAATTCCTGACCTCAAGTCCTGGGTCTTACATGGGGGTCCCTGATTCTGGTCTGAGCCCAAGCAGGAGCATCTCTGGGGTTCCTGTTATTACCCCAATTTCTACTCCTGTCAAATCTGGGCCCAATTATAGCCCCCGTCTCTGTGGGTTCAGTGGTCGATGCAGTGGGGCCGAGGTATGAATCCCTAAGGATTTGTGTCACCCTAGACTCTTTTAGGCTATGTAGCCTGCTATCTGTCTGCTCCAAGAAGAGGCCTGACCCTTCAAAGGGCAAGTCCCGGAATGTTGTCTGTACGGCCAGGGGAATGCCCAAAACCCGGAGCTTCAGTGCATAACTATGCCCGCGACCATAGCTTGCACCGCAGAGTCCACCATGTTGAGAGCAGCTGGAAGGGCCGATCTGGCCACTCTGCCTTCCTCCGTGACAGCTGTAAACTCCTGCTAGGAGTCCTGGAGTAGTTGGGCTTTGAACTTGTCAACAGCCACCCAGGAGCTGTAGGCATATCTACTGAGCATAACTTGCTGGTTGACTATCCTCAGCTGGAGCCCAGCCATCACATATGCTTTTCTGCTCAATAAATCAAACTTTCTTGGCTCTTTGCTCTTGGGCATGGGGCCCATCTGCCCTTGCCTCTTCATCTGACAGGCAGCATGCACCACTGCAGAGCCCAGCGCTGGGTGTGTAAACAGGTGCTCATGACCCACTTGAGGGATGTAGTACAATCTCTCAACCCCTTTCTGCATAGGTAGTATGGATGTTGGGGTCTTCCAGAGGCATTTGGTGATTTTTGTGACCATTTTATTCAAGGGGAAGGCAATCTTAGTGGGGCCATCTACAGGGATGATGTCCACCGCTGGATCCGCCTCCTCTTTAACTGCCTCAGCCTGTACCCCTAGATTCTGGGTCAGCCTTTTGAGATCCTACTGGGTGTGTTGGGCCGGTGGGGGCATGGTTTCACTGTCTGGTGCTGGTGGATGCGGTGCTGGGGCCACCTGTGGTCTGGCACATTCCAGGTTCTGTACTGCCAGGGTCAGGCCGCCCATGCGGTTGGGTTATGCAGTGCTGGAGCCAGTGCAGACAGCACCAGTCAAGGGCACATCACTCACCAGTGGCCCGTCTGGACCCCATGGGCATATAACCAGGCCTCTGGTAGACTCCATACCAACAGCTGCTCCTGTGCCTGGGATTGTAGCACCAAATTCCATCAAGAGAAGTTTAAGTCTCGAGTCACGCTCTCTCCCCATTCACAGCTTGAACGCCTTACAAGTCTTACAGGGGTCTGTAAAGTGCCCCTCTCCTAAGCACTCTTTGTATAGGTCTCTGCAGGGCAGAGGCTTGGAACAACACCAGCACAATTTGAAGCCTTGAGCCCCCCCATGCCTCTCCATGGGGGGAATACTACTCCTGTCTACAACAAAAAAGTAACAAAAACTGAGATAGCTTATCTAGTGTAAATAGTTGGTAATTACTAAGGGTTGTCTTGCAAGGCAAACAAGCATTCCCTCGACAATCACAGGCAGTAAGAAGGAACTGAGGGGGGTTGGGGCTAGCAGGGACATATAAGTGCAGCCATACCGGTGCCACTCTGGGGTCTTCCTGACTGGCCCAACAGGTACTGCTAAAGGTAAAATAGTCCCAGGATTCGTGCATGTAGCATGCGTGCACCTGAGTGGAATGGACATAAGCAGGCACTCAAAGAAGAAACAACAAACATGCTTTCCTAGTGTGCTCCAGCATTCCTTAGAAATCTTACATCCAAGTACTCATGACTTTCATGGCTGCTTAAATTGCTAGAAATGACTATAAATGAAGGAGAATTTTATGGAAAGTAGTTATCTTTTGCACTGGTGGCATGAAAAGGTTTCCACTGAGAGCTGGATCTTTATATACATCCAAACCACCACTATATACTGCAAATTTCACTTTATTTCCTTATTCCACAAATGAGCATATCACCTGCCATCTACACCTTGATTAAAACAATCTCACCCAAAGCAGAAACAGGCATTCTTTAATTCTCCAAAGCACACCTATGAACACAGCAGCACAAGTTCTAACATTGATACATAAAAACTTTTTCTGGTGCAGCTTCATTACAATTTCGCCATTAGTTCCTTTTAAAAATTACACTTTAAATATTTATATATGCTTATGCATAATCTACCATACAGGAAGTCACTTTTAGAAGCCATTCAGTAAATTCAATTTAAGAGTCCCTATAAATTTAGATTATATACAGTTATAATAATCAAACTAAGATATTTACAATCTCTTTAAACTTCAGGTTCTCAATTCACAAAAGGATTAGTGCATTCCATGATTTCTCCTTAGATTCATTTTACATGGGGATTAACCTGTGCCCATAATGCTGGGTAACAGTTTATATAGTAAGTTTGCATGCTGACAAAGGAATGAGTTGGCAAAATCAGGATGGCGGAGAGCCTAGCCTAGAAAAGGAATGAATATACATTCTCGTCTTGATTTTGTGTTGCACTTTAACTAGTAGACTTTAGGAACAGCAGACATTGGAAAAACAAAGCTAAGAGCAGCACAAAAATAGAGTAGACTTCTCAGCCATTTCACCTGCCTTTCACATAAGCATTCCTTTAACATTCTAGTTCTTACATTCTCTCCTTTCCACAAGTTAAACAAAGTCTTTCACCTATGGTAAAATCTATTTCTGAAATTAAAAGCACAGGAATTTACCAGAATTGAAAAACCTCCAATGAGGGATACATTTATTTCTGAAGCTTTTGTGTATATGATGTGTGGTTTTCCAAGAGAGTTTTGAGATATGCAAGTCAGGATATCCATTTAGGCTCTGGCCATCTGGAAATGAACAGATTTTGCATATTTGATTGAAGACTTTGAGCAGATTCTATTGGTCTGTGGTTGATGAATGTATGTGGGGCTTATTGATGAATGTATGTGGGGCTTGTGGTAGTCAAGGGACTGGCACAAATGAAAAAAAATAGGGAACTGCCAATTTATTCTGTTTTATATATTCACAGGATGGAGAAAAGTTCTGTGAATCAGGTCCCAAGATTTCCTTTAACAATAGGTAGATCAGTACATTCCAGTAACAAAAAATTACAGTGAACATTCAATATCTGGAATGCATAAAATATACAAGTACCATTATATTACATATATGAAGTTGCTCAGGACAGTACTTTTATTTCCAGAATAAGCATAAAAAAGTTACAAGCTGGTTCACAATAACTTTAGGCACAATGTTATTAAAATACACTGATGTTGTTAGTCATAAAAATATTTTACTATTTACATGTACAATGTATAAACCTTAACAATAAGAATATGCCCATTTTAGGAAGTCTTAAAGGAATAGTTAGGCAGATTGGCCCATCTTAAGTGCAGTATAACCTGTTTTGGTCTTCAAAACTTGAAACTACTGGATATACAGTACTGTAACTCATTCTTCACTAGAATGTTTACACTTTCTACTAGGTATTTAAAGCATTTCATTAAAAAGAACCAGTTTTGTTGCCACTGTGTTTTATTTTGTTAAATCCTACTCCAAGTAATTCAGGACACTCTGCTTGTTCTTGTGCAATTTGGTTGCATTTCCAAATAAGGCTATAATTCATTTCATCAGTGATCACACTATCTTGCTTGTAGTCAGGATGCTTTGCAATAAACTCCCTCATCCACCGAGCAACTGTCATTAATTCTCCTGAAAGGAGAAAATAGTACATAAACATCAAATTACAGACATTTAAACACCACATTTAGCATCTACTTTAATATATTACATACTTGCAAGTATTTCTAATTACTTACTCCCTTTATATTAATGAGTACCATATATGCATCATAATAATGTAGCTACATTTTAAAAAATATTATGAACTCACTACAGATGCATCTCAAAGGACAGACACCAAGCACACACAGATGCAGACACTAGAAATTCCACTTATCTAGAACGATCTACATCCTACAAGTTTTACTTTCAGTTTTAGAAGTAAAATGCTAGGATACATTTCTAAACCTGCATAACAAACTAACAAAACCTTAAAAAAAATCAGAGTGCATCAATGACAAAAGCAGACAGTACAAGGCAGTAATTCTTCAACTCTTTACATGAGGCACATTTTATTAGAGAAATTGTCTCAGACCAAATGTTACCATATGTCGCTACAGGAATTATCTGTCTTAATACAGCTCAGCTCCTAGAAACAAGACGACTCTTTAGTTTGGCTCCACTGTATTAGCTATTTCCTCAGTTTTCCCCACTGGTACTGCCCCATTAGTGAGAGTGCTGAGGTAAGTGAAGTCTTGGCACTAGAAAAACTGTTTAACAATATCAGAAGAGGACTAAAGGACACAGTGACTGTCAATTTTTAATCTATGCTAGTACTCACGATGTTGCTATCTCTGCTGGAGCTGCACACTAGCAGAAACAGTAAGAAATTTAAGACAGACTGGGGTAGACAACATTAATGACCAGACAACTGTCCAAGGGCAGAAGCAAGTGCTCCATGGCCCACTGTTCCGGAACTTCAGACACAAAGATCCCTAAGGAGGTACTAGATAACTAGGAAATTCCAGAGCTTATGCCCACAAAACTGCCGAGACACGTTAATACATCTAATGTTTTTCCTGTTATAAAATTTTAATTTTTGTACATAAGTGTAACAGCAAACATTCACTGTCATTCCAGTATCAAAAAACACCCACATCTTAAAGTCATAGAAACATGTTTAGCAAAACCAGTATGACACCAGAATTATGCAGCACTACCCACAGACCCTACTTGTGATTTAACAGATGCAGAAAAGTAATAGATGAATAATATTCAGAGTAGCTATAGTAGATTTAGTGCCCCTTTACATTAGACATTTTCTAAGTTTTGTTTACACATTATACCAGTGGTCTCCAACCTTTTTACACCCAAGATCACTTTTTAAATCTCCGAACAGGTGAAGATCTATCGCCCCGCCCCTTCCTTGAAGCCCCGCCCTCTCTGTTCTCCTTCTGTCCATCATTTGCTATCCCCAGCCCTTAAACAGTTTATTTTTAAATTATACGATGTATAAAATTAAAATCACATGTTTATAGTTATGAAATAAATGGTCTGTTTTTTATTTATGCTATTTAAATCTAAAGTGAAGCATTTATAATTATACATTTTGTGGGGACCGAGTTCTGTGGCTGGGGACAGGGGAGAGAGAACAGGGTGCTGGGAGGGCAGAGGGGACAGTGTGCAGCAGGGGACAGAGTGCCAGTGGGGACAGGTTTCTGCAGCTGGGGACAGGGTGCCAGTGGGGACAGGAATAGGGACAGAGTTCTGTGGCTGGGGACAGGAGAGTGGGGTGCCAGCGGAGGCAGAGAGTCCCCTGTATCTGCCTCCTCCCAGGATTCCCCTCCCCCAGAGAGAAACCAGTGCATGCCTTTCCCGGGGCTGACCTCCCGGCGCAGGAAAACCCCGCGCACGCCTGCCCCAGGGCCGACCACCCCGGCGCAAGGAAACCCCGTGTGCGCGCGCCTCCCCTGGGGCTGACTCACCCCTCCCATGCAGTGCAGGGAGCCGATACTCCCTCCCGCAGAACACCTGGCAGAGCAGCTAGCGCTACTTCTGGAATCGCCGGAAGTGGCACTAAGCTGCGGGACCTTCTGTCCATCCCTAGGAAGCCTACACTACCTCCATTTTCACAGAGGTAGGTAGTGGGGCTTCTCAGGGGTGGAAGGGAAATAGGGGTGAGGCGGACAGGACACCTCGCGATCGACTGGTCGAGGCCTTACGATCGACTAGTCGATCGCAATTGACCTGTTGGTGACCACGGCATTATACAATGGGGGAAAAAAAAATGAAATTCTGAGTGAAGTTTTTCCTGCACTACACATAAGTATTAGTCATACCAGAGGCTCTCTTTTTTATTAACTTCAGGTAGTTCAGAATGGTGCATCTTGTGTCCACGTCCACTTCCATATTTTCAAGGTAAGAGTTTAGAATTGGAATTAAGCCAGGAAAGACACCATCCTGCATGAAACAACACATGTCCAGTATAAACTCATATGATTTAATTTGTGAGTAAGGAAAACAGGTCAGTATTCCAAGTGTATGTTACCACCACACCTTCCCATTGATGATTGTATCTATGCTCATCAAGGTGTACTCTTCTGCATCTGTCTCTTTCCCATTTTGCGCTGGGCCACATCCATCTACAACAGCATTTCCCCCTTACCGAAGGAGAAGGGAAAAAAAGGCAAGGCAATTAATTCTGTGCATCTCTTGAACTGATCCTTAGCAAACAGTCTGAAATCAGTAAGGACAGTACCTTTACAAATATCTTTTCTGAAATAAAACATTCCCTGCCGAACAGCATCTCGCTTCTGGGCTACCTTCATATTTTCATCAACCTAGTAAGGGAAAAATCCCAAAAAGATTACTTATCAGATGCTAGAAAATGGGTACTTCACGTACTAGAATATTCTGATTTTAGAAGTTAGTATTTCTAGATATTTCTTGTTAATTTCACTGCATCACCCACAAGTTTTATTTAAATTTCTCAAAGGTTAGCATTCTGCACAGAACCACAGAGTCTCTCATCCATGAAAGTATAACAGTCAGTAAAGTAGATGCCACTAGTACAAACCTGTAATTTTAGATACAAGCTGTGCTAATTTGTCAGTTGTAAACAGAAGCAAAGGAACATGTGTCTTCTTAGGCAAGCTTATTTTGCTATGAAGATGTAATTTAATCAGTATTGTTTCTAAAATTGGCATTTCCCGTTTCATGGTCTTCAGAAATAAATTTGCTTATTTTGTTTAAATGGAGTAAATCAGCCATTAGAACTAAAGGTCATTAATAGGGTCATTCAAGGTGGTAGAAAAATCACTGTCTCACCATGGTGCCTCCTCAAAAAAAGGGAGGCAGAGAATTTTAGCAACTGCATAGTTAATAATACGGTTGTCACCAAAATCAAATTCTGAGACTTTAATGGACCTCTGTCACTTCTTTGGCTTCAGCCCTCACCAGAATGGTAGGGCTGGACCATCTGTCTGCCCTTGCCATAGGACTAGAGTGGCGGCAGTCAGTCCCTAGTGGTAATCTTTACAAAGTCAGACACAGATCATGGCCTTCTGTGAATTTGCTGCCTGCATCTTCTATGACTTTTGCTAAAAATAACCATGAAGCTAAGATTTTTGTCATGTATAAGCAACTAAAATCTTGGGTGACACTTATCTTGCCTCTGGATTGTCCAAATTCTTAAAGAAATAAAGTAAATTGGGGAGTTAACAGTAGTCCACTTTCAAGCAGCAAAAATTACTATGGTTTCTGGGAAGAGGATTTGCTACACTGTTTTTCCTTTCGTGATGCAAAAAGCTTTCAGCAAAATTAAGTGATTTTTAAAAATATTTTAAACACTAGGGAGAAAAATCTTTTGTCCTCTTACTCATTTTATCATATCTTTTATTAATCAATTTACAGATGTTCTACAGGATGTCTGGAGGCTATTTTGAAAGAATAAAAGCATTCTAGGTGGCTAAAATATAAATCCCACATAACCCAATTGAAGAGATCAGTTCAAGATTACTCCCATAACATTCTTGTTCTTACAAGTAGCAAAGGCAAGTTACTGAAGTCTAGTAATTCTCTGTAACAATGTCTGCAAAATTGCTCAGATTTGTTTGACTAGATCTAGAGTCACTCCGTGCCTCATCTGTAGTCATAACCAGCTTTCATTAACTAATATGTTTGCCCGTGATTTACTAGGCATTTCATGTGTTTGGTGGTACTTTATGTATTGCTGGCTTGCATAATGTGTGTACATTTCTCTCTGCAGAAAACTACATACCCCTGCTTTGGGTAATTTTAAATTCCCATGTTTGATGCAAAATTTCTTTCTGCTCCTTACTTGTGAAAACTGAAGGCCAACTCCATAAAGAGAAGGAGCTCACCCTTTCAAGCCTGAAGCAAAAACTTTAAAAATATATAACATTTAGTTAAAAATTAAGTGGTAAAATTTTAATGTAAGCAATACAAGGCTAAAATAAATTAACCTCTGTAATGTTTCCTAAACATTTTAATATAGTATTGTTTTAAGTAAAAACAAGGGAATTTTGAATTCAACAGCAGGGTCTACATAGATCAACTAGTGTGATTTAGAAATCACATCATTGTAGTCTGGACTACTGTTTCATGTACACAAACTCAGCTACAGTTCAACAATGGTTATTGGATAATCAATTTATTTTACCACCAGAGAAGTTTTACCAGTATTTATTGGTTAAAGATAAAAAGCAGCAACTCTAAATATACACAACCTAGAGGGGACAGAAGGAAGTTTCCTGTGAAGGGTCTGGGACAAGCTTTACTCTTTGCCCTCGATAGTCCCAAGCCTACTGACTTTTGGAACACATTACAAGAAGCATGTATATATCTGAGCTACTGCAGTTTGACCTTTAGGGAAAAATCAACTGTGATAGGGAGAGGGGAGTTTGACACTCTGTGGACAATTTTATTTTATTTTATGTAATTCACGAAAGTGGTGCTTAAAGCTTTGAAGTGGCCTCTTCTATAGAGTAATTAAAATTAGACATATTTCTATTAATATTCTACATGCTATTAATGGCATAGCTGGTCTTAGGAAAGACCACATAATATGAAAAATAATGTATTCATATAAGCAAACAACTCACTTGAAGACATTGGTTTTATTTTTTACCCAATCTATATAGTATATAGAGTTAAATTGCATTTACCTGTATTTCATTATCAGTCCCCGCTCCTCTATATGCACATCTAGATGAAGAGGGATTTAGTAACACAGAAATACTATCCTTAGACTTTCACTGAAACACTAGGCTTTCTAGCTAGCGTACAGATGTAAAAATAAATGTACAGTTTCACTCTTACCTTGGACAAAGGAATGAGAAAATCCAGTTTATATGACAGAATCACTCTGGTTAGCAATACCACAAACACAACATATGCAGAGTTTTCAAAGTCTGTTAACTGAACCTAGACATTAAAAAATAGTGACTTTAGTGAAATAGAACTGATAAAAATAAAAAGCAGCAGAGTAGGTTTATGCCGTTTGGGTCAATTTTTCAAACAGGTGCTTGCAAAATATGCATGAAATATTCATGCCCTTTGATGCTCAAATTTTTAACAGAGTCCAAGTCAACTATATGCCAAATATGCATGCATGTCTGTATATTCAACACTATAATATAAAAGCAAAATCAGTGTCCTGAACTTGAAAAGAATGGCTAATCATGGAGAATCCGAACTAATATGTAATTAAAAACTTTGATATTTCATTTTAAAAAAGTGTTAATTTAGAGTGACAGACACCTATAAAATACAAGCACATATGAAACAAAGGAATGCATTAACACATGCTTCCATCAGTATTAAACAGAAAGGCTGCGTCTAGAATGGCATGATTTTGCGGAAATACTTTTAACGCACGGATGCTTTTGCGCAAAAGCATCCGTGGCCAGTCTAGACGCGGTTTTATGCAAGAAAGCCCCAATCGCCATTTTAACCATTGGGGCTTTTTTGCACAAAACAGTTCTTCCCTATCTACACTGGCCCTCTTGGGCAAGAATACTTTTCCCATGAGCGGGAGTGTGAAAGTATTTGCCTAAGAAGCACTGATTTTGTACAGTACAAAGTCAGTGCTCTTGCGCAAGTTCAAGAGGACAGTATAGACATCTGGCAAGTTTTTGCCAGTCTAGATGCACTCAAAAAGAACAAGGCCATGAGAAACTCAATACAATATTAGAGCCTTGTTTAGAGTTGCTTTCATTAGTGTTCTTTAGTTTGCTAATGCAAATTCTCCTGCTAGTTTCAGTCCAATAATTTCCGGGCATATTTACTTAAATGCTGCTGTCCATTTCACTTCAGGAGATTAGCAATTCAGAAGGGACAACTCACACTACGAATAATGTTGATGCTAGATAAGAGAACGCCTCATACTTTCTATCAGTAATAGGATATGCTGTTAAGCATCTTTACTACTTACCTCCATGGGCCTGAATTCTACTCTCCATCCAATATCTGAATTTGGAGGAGGTGGTTTAAATCTCATTGTCTGCCAATTTGTGGACTGAATATTCTGCAAAATCACAAGTAAGATATACTGTTACAGACAAGCACATTTCCATAATGCACATCTGTAAAAACAACACTAAATGCTCTTCCATCTCACAATCAACATACATGCAAATTACCAAGTAATACTTACAGAGACTTGACCTATTTAATGGTGGAATGAAGTGTTACCACTCCAATGATACTATGCCATACTACCCATGAAATTTAGGGCTGCATATGAGTGAGGCTTCAAGTCTGTCAAAGATACGCAAGTCATGCATTCTGTGTCTTTCTGGAACTTCCATGATTTCCACAGTTGACCTGAGGCCATTCCAGAGAGGCAGTAGTTCCTGGGGGCATCAGATCAGCCCTTACCTTTGGAGCAGGCCCCTAGGACCACCCAGAGCAATGATGACCCCCAAGAGAAGCTAAGATTTGTTGAGAGGTATTTCTAGTAAAAGTCATGGTCAGGTTACAGGCCAAGAATTTGTTTATTGCCTGTAATCTACCCATGACTTTTAATAAAAATACCCATAGCTAACACTTATAGATGAGACATTACATATACAGATTTAGTAGGCCTTTTATAATCAGTTCTTGACGACAAAATTGAAGATCTGCACTGACATGATTAAAATAGATTAGAACTATTGCTCAACTACTTATAAAATGATTCAAGATAAAAAATTTATCAAATATACTACACAACATATAGTTGCTGTACAATGTGTTGTATGCTGATAGAAAGATATTTTATGAAAGATGGTAAATGACCTTGATAGTTTTCCTTACTTAGTTAACTACTGTCTGTGCCTGGACAGTCTCTAATATTTCCCTTGGTTCTTTTCACTGCTGTTTCTAGTGGTGGTCTGTGTTTCACTAGGTTTAAAGTGTGAGCTATTTCTCTGGAATGAGGAAAGAAACATTTTCCAAGTTCATAGCAACAGGTATTTGTCAGTGCAATAGTAAAAAACTGCATGCTGTAAAGAACTAATTTAGAACATGTGAAACTAGCTGCTTTTGTTCCTCGTTCCTAAATTCTGGCAATATCCTCAACTACCGAATACTCAGCATTACAAGATTAAGCAATAAAATATGGATCAATTATAATCACAGTATTTAAATTGGTATGAAGCAAGATACAACCTCAAAATGGTCAGATTCATTTGCATCATCTAGATGTATTTTCTCTTCAAACAATGTCAATGGGTCTCGAATAAATAAGTGTGCAATATGTTGTGCCAAAAGATGATCGATTCCTATAAACAAAAGTTCAAAGATCAAATTCACCAACAGACACTAAAGATGGTAAAGTAGGCCTCATTAAATGCCATGATGACTCAAGACCCAGGAAACGCCATACTGCTTGAGGCTATCACAAACACATCCTAAGGTGAAGTAAAAGTGATCACCACAAAAATAGGTAAGATGATGACAAAGAACAAGAAGATATTCTGTTTTCTGGTTGGAAGCACCAGCTGAAAAATCGGTATAGCTGCCATTCTTCCTCTGCTTTCTCTTCCACTTCTGTCTCCTGCTGACTTTGACAGTTTTGCTCGATACAGAATGGTAAGGTATTAATGATTCTTAAGAAGCCAGCTGTTCAATTTGGAACTGAAGTACATTTTCCCCTGCAGATCAATGGCATAACCTCAAGGACAGACTACCACATGGAATGAATAGACATCTCCGCTACGCATGCAGAGTCAATGCAAAAATATGGTGGATTTTAAAAAGAAACTGAAGAAAACTACAAGCATAAGACTAAATTGACTCACAACGAGTCAAACACTTACCTTCCTTTACTAGGTGCTCGTAGATTTCTTTATCTATTGTCAAATCAATGTCATTGTATTTTTCACCACATTCAGATAGATAACTGTCTATGGAATCATATCTGGATTTACTGATTCTATAATGGTTGTTCTTCAGTGGCTATATAATTTAAAAATAGAATATTTTAAGAGCTTGTAAACAATGTTACCTTACTAATTAAACAATTCTTGGAGAACTGTTATTCCAAGTAAAAAAAATAAACAGATGTTGCTTTTAAACAATCTAAATTAAAGTTATTAAACTAAATTCACAGGTCTTCAAAAAATAAGGAAAATGGTAGTGGCATATACATGAGAGATCTAACAAATAAGAAACTCATGGGGCTTAGACACCTATAACAGGTTAGAGGGTATATAATTAAAAAGCTTAATGAAAGTGGGTGTCAATAAAAACCCAACTTTGTATCCTCATTTAGGATAATTTTGAATAAAAGTCAGTCTTGCTATATATATTGACTATTCTATTATGACAGTATGAAAGGATTTCATTGGGATAACCTGGTACATTTCAAAATGGGTGGTTTGCCAAAATCTACTGTGACATCATGGTTATATTGGTATTGCTATAAACAAACATATTTGTCAGAATATGTTACTAGAATTTTCTACTGGAACATTTTTATAAATTTAGTTTTTAAATTCTGTAATTCTCTAGATGGTCTCTGGTGTCCATTCTCTGAAGTTTAAGTTGGTCCTGCCTACATGCATGGGGCCAGACTTGATTTCGAGTTCCCTTCCAATCCTACGATTCTAAGTTCTGCTGACCAGGTGATATAGCATTTATAATACTGTAAACCATGACAGCAGGGACCATCTACAAAAGTACGTGTCACATAACACAGGATTACAATATATGCTGATTTTTTTTAAAAGAAATCTTACTTTTTGACTGAGGCAGAGAAAGTGAAGCTGTATCACCAAATGAAGAACTTCTCAGGAAATTGTGAATGAGTGGAAGTGGAGTTTAAATGGAATTCTATACTTAGATATAACAAACATTTTCTGCTGTGGATGCTATAACAATAATTAGGGTGAAAGTTACACCTACTGAATGGTATGCCATAAAGACCCCAATCTCTGAGTACTCCACCTGTGATATTCAAAGAATATTTGAACTTTAACTAAAAAGCCCCAGGAAGTTAACTTTTACTTTAACACTAATTTAACTTGCCTCCAATCCTCTCTCCTCTCGTGTTCGGTCATCTACTGATGCAGATATTACTCCCCATCGACAATCAATATCTGACACGTAGCCTCTGTAGAATGGAGCTGCAGCACTTAATGCCATCTAAAATAATACAAAGTCACACATGAGAACACAGGACAAAACAAAATGAACACCAACACCACAATGTAACTCCACAGAAAGTTTACTTTTGGACCAGCAAGACTTCACACACTTACACAAAAATTATGTACTCAAAGACCAAACTGTTATTGGGGGGTAGAATTGGGAGAGGGGTTTTTGTTCAACTTATGCTGCTGCTCCAGCAACCCTCTGCTGATGCAGGACAGCACATTTTTTCCCCCTCAAAAGTAGTCATATGAACTGCACACACAGAAAAATGGTTTATTTACTTAGTATTTATTTACATCTCCAAATATATTGCCTCTAGAGATCCACAGTGAAGGAGCTACACCTTGTGATCTGCAGAAGTAATTTCATGATGGACAGATATTGTGCTACTATACTTCCAGTCCCATCAGCAACCTTAATTTGACCAGCCTTTTATTTAAAGCTCAAGGTCCAATTATCACTGAAGTGATAAATTCACAACCTACTGTAGCTGTACCTATAGTCCAAGCTGGTAGTTGGAGCCTATGTCATGGCTCCTTCCCCACTCTGGCACGATAAATGCAGGAGTGTAGGCCAGCAAAAGTACCCCAAAATCTTATCTACCAGGCTTTGGTGTAAAACTTCCCCCCAAAAATCTTAACCTAGATTTTGGGAATACAATCTCCGCTGCCACCACCCACATATTGATACAAAAATCAGGGGGAAAAAAATCACTTGGGAAATCTCACCCCTAAAGTACAAACCAGGACACAACCATTAACCAATACCAGGTTAATAAAAAGGAAAGAGAAAGAACTTTTATCACCACAATATTCCTGTTGCAAGCATAATGACTAGATGGAAAAGTAACAAAATAATATACTCATGGAGGAGAAATCTACCATGGGCCAAGAGCTTAGTTACAAAGGAGAGCAAACCCCATTTAAAAATGCACAGACTAGATCCCATTTTCCAAACGATAAAACCTAGTGGATTTATCTAAACTTTATCCTACTTACAGACTGTGAAGAGTATTTTCTTAGAGGGAGACATCCTGCCCCCTTCAATAGCTGGAGAGAAACTACGCACAACAAAGGAGGGTAAAACCCCAAAATTCTTTTGTCCCAGTTTGAAATTCCTGCCTACATTTCTATCGGCTGCCTGCCACCTGGTTTAGGTAAGGGACATATGTAACCCCATAGTCCCCAGGATGCTGGCTAACCCTCATGATCATGACACGCCCCCAAACCGCAGATGGTGCTGGACAGCTTCTGGCCACACCAGCTGTGATTTCTTCCTGGAGGTCTGAGATAAAACATAGTAAATAAGTACATGCACACCTTACTAGACCATTGAATACATGAAAAGTAAACAAAACCCCTCCACATCTGTGGAGTACCATGCTGGATATACTGAGAGCATCCTAAGCACCTGAGTTCAGAAATGCCTCCCAGGAGAGGGCATCGGCCACCTTGTTAGAGGCTCCCGAAATGTGCTGTACATCAAAGACAAAATCTTCGAGTGCCAAACTCCACCAAAGGAGTTTCTTATCGGTTGTTTTGACCGAATGAAGCCACTGAAGAGCAGAGCAGTCAGTCTGTAGATGGAAGCGTTGCCCCCACACATGCAGTCTTAACTTCTCTAGAGCATAAACAATCGCATAGCGCTCCTTCTGAGACAGAGCAGTGACTTTCTCTTTCAGACAATTTTTTGCTGAGAAACACTTGTTGATCTGGTCCTTCCTGCATCAGAACTGCCCCCACACCTTGCTCGGATGTGTCTGTGGTGACAATGAAAGGCTTGTCATAGTTTGGGACCCTCAGTACAGGATCAGACATAAAAGATGCCTTGAGCTGATTAAAAGCTTCCTGGCACTGGTCAGTCCACTTGACTCCATTGGGTTGGTTTTTCCTAGTTAGATCTGCTAGAGGTGCGGCAACTTCACTGGTAGTGCAGTACAAATTTTGAGAAAGCTACAAAACATCGATAACCTCCCTGATAACACCATCCTTGCCACCATGGATGTAGAAGCTCTCTACACCAATATTCCACATGACGGATTACAAGTGATTAGAAACACTATCCCAGAGGATATCACAGCCAACCTGATAGCAGACCTATGTAACTTTGTTCTCACCCACAATTATTTCCAATTTGGGGACAACTTTTACCTCCAGATCAGCGGCACAGCCATGGGTACCCGCATGGCCCCACAGTACACTAACATCTTTATGGGTGACTTAGAACAACATTTCCTCAGATCCCATCCCCTTTTACTCCTCCTTTACTTACGCCACATCGATGACATCTTTATGATCTGGACCCATGGCCAAGAAACACTGGACGCATTCCACAGAGACTTTAACAACCTACACTCCACCATCAATCTCAGCCTAGACCATTCAACACAAGAGATCCATTTCCTGGACACCACAGTACAAATCACTAATGGAAAATTAAATACCACTTTCTACAGAAAACCCACTGACAGCTATACTTACCTACATGCCTCCAGCTCCCATCAAGGACACATCATACGATCCATCATCTATAGCCCTTCAATACAACGGCATCTGCTCTAATCCCACTGACAGAGACCAGAAACTTCAAGATCTCTTCCAAGCATTTGTCAATCTCAATTACCCACCGGGGAAATAAAAAAAAAACAAATTGAAAGAGCCAGACGAATACCCAGAAACCATCTACTTCAAGATAGGTTCAAGAAAACCATCAATAGAACACCACTTATCACCTATAGCCCCAACTTAAACCCCTCTAACCCATTATCAATAACCTACAACCTCTACTGGAACAGGATACTACACTCCTAGAGGCTCTGGGGGACAGACCCATAGTCTCCTATAGACAACCACCTAACCTCAGGAAGATTCTTACCAACTATTACAGCACATACCATATTAATACCAACCCTGGAACTTTCCCTTGCAACAAACCCCATTTGTCCACATATTTACTCTGGTGACAACCATCACTGGCCCTAACCATGTCAGTTATATGATCAAGAACGCATATTCCTGTTCATTCAGAAATAAAATGTATGCCATCCTGTGCCAACAGAGTCGTTCTGCTATGTATACTGGACAGACTTCTCAGGCACTTTGTGAAAGAATTAATGCCACAAATCAGACATCTTCACAAGGAAAAGCCAGTTGCTTTTCATTTCAGCCTACCTGGAAATAATCTTAACCTTACTACATGCACCTTACTTCAAAGAGACTTGAACACCAGATTACAGAGGGAAACTTCAGAACTCTTTCATCCTTAAATTTGACACTTTACAAATGGGCCTTAACAAAGATGCTAAGTACCTTAACCATTACAAAAATGCTTCCCTACTTATTACCCCTGATTAGCCATTCATTGACTCAAATAGCTATTCCCTTCCTCCCTCACCCCACCTTCTGTACTAAATCTGATTTGTCAGTTTAATGTGTTCACTTTTTTCATTGTATTCCTGTGGTATATATGGTTATGCCAATTCTCTTCCAGAATACAATCTGAGGAAGTGGGTCTGGCCCAAAAAAGCTCATCACCTATTAAACCATCTTGTTAGTTTTTCCTTTTGTTTTAGCAAGATCAGTCTAACACAGCTACCTCTCTATTACTATTCCCTATTACAATGATTGAAAACAGGGTCTTTATTCAAATTTTACCAGAACTAAATCATATGGGTTGAAATTTTTCATGTAGGGACTGCTACAAGTTGTTTTTGCTGAAACTTTCAAAAAAATTAGTTCAGACATTTCTCATGAAAAAGATAAAGAAAAAATACATTTCCACACACACAAAACCCTTGCAACCATTTCATTGAGAAAATCTAGTGTTTCCTTTGAAATAAGACTGGAAATTTGGCAAGTGCATTGTACTAATGTCAGGGATGTGCTTTTTTTTTTTTGCTAATCCTGTGAAAAAATGTTCAAGTTTGCCTTCGGGGGAAAAATCAGTTTAATTGAGCTTTTGAAAATAGACTCAACTCACTTTTGAAAATGGAAATAAAGCTCCCAATATTTGTCCTCTCACCCCCCTTCACCTTTACTGTTACCCCTCTCATGTAATACCTAAATCAAAACTTGGGGAAGGAGCCTTGCCTGTTCTATAAAACTTTGATGCTATAAGAGTTTATACTTTTATTTTTCTTTTTAAAAGTACTGTATGTTACAAGATTATGAGAGCAGACAATTACAATTTGCTAAAAATTACTCAAAACCAAAAATAATTTCATTGACATGTTTACTGTAAATTGTTTTGTTAATTTCTGCCTACTAGCAGAATAGAAGGCACATGTATACTACAGCAAATAGCATATTGGTTATTGATATACTACAGTTGCGGAACCACCATCTAAGGCAGCACCTTCCATTTTTGCTGATGACATCTTCAAAAAACATTGGTAGAAGACATGACTTTACCTGATACCAGTGTTCCCCCTCAGATTTTCCATCCATGGGGATGAAATTTGTGTGCACCACTAATACTGAGGTAGTGTGGATGTGCACCGACCAGTACAAACAAAAACCATAGATAATTTTTGATAGGGGACCACTTAAAGAATTTGGTAAGCAGTTGAAGGCCGCACTCTACCATTACATTAAATGAAAGAAGTGCAGGGCTCTGGGATGGAGGTTGGGTGCTGAAGGGAGCTTTGGTGAAGTAGGGTATTGTGACCTGGGGCGACGGACTGGCATGAGGAGGGGTTGCAGGGCCTGGAAGAGGGTTGTGACCTGGGGCAGGGGGGCAGGAATTTGGGTTGTGACAGGGATAGCAGATTGGGGTGCAAGGTCTGAGAGGGAGTTGTGACCTGAGGAGGGGATGCAGTGTCTGGGAAGGTGTATGGGGGTTGCAGGTTTGCTTTACATGGGGTAGGAGGGCAGAAGAGGGGCAGAGGGTTGGGGGAAGGAAGGAGGGCACCCCAGACCCGACACAGGCTCTGGCTGCGAGACCTTACCTGGCTCCAAGCCAGCAGCCTAGCAGGTTCCTTAGTGGGGGTCCCTGCATTCCAGCCACTGTAAATGCTCAGAGAAGTTGTAGGAGCCATGTTTACTACCCTAAACCGAATGCTGTGAGCCTAGGGGATGAGGGGCACTTGACATGCTGCCTGTCCTGCAAACAAGCAGCTGCTATTGGCCGAAACCAGACAGTAGGAACTACTGGAGACGGGGGCAGCATGAGAATCATAGAACTGGAAGGGATGTCTTAGAATCATAGAATCATAGAATAATAGGACTGGAAGGGACCTCGAGAGGTCATCGAGTCCAGCCCCCCGCCCTCAAGGCAGGATCAAGCTCCGTCTACACCATCCCTGACAGATGTCTATCTAACCTGTTCTTAAATATCTCCAGAGAGGGAGATTCCACCACCTCCCTTGGCAATTTATTCCAATATTTGACCACCCTGACAGTTAGGAATTTTTTCCTAATGTCCAATCTAAACCTCCCCTGCTGCACTTTAAGCCCATTACTCCTTGTCCTGTCCTCAGAAACCAAGAGGAACAAATTTTCTCCTTCCTCCTTGTGACACCCTTTTAGATATTTGAAAACCGCTATCATGTCCCCCCTTAATCTTCTTTTTTCCAAACTAAACAAGCCCAGTTCATGAAGCCTGGCTTCATAGGTCATGTTCTCTAGACCTTTAATCATTCTTGTCGCTCTTCTCTGTACCCTTTCCAATTTCTCCACATCTTTCTTGAAATGTGGTGCCCAGAACTGGACACAGTACTCCAGCTGAGGCCTAACTAGTGCAGAGTAGAGCGGCAGAATGACTTCACGAGTTTTGCTTACCACACACCTGTTGATACAACCTAGAATCATATTTGCTTTTTTTTTGCAACAGCATCACACTGTTGACTCATATTCACCTTGTGGTCCACTATGACCCCTAGATCCCTTTCTGCCATGCTCCTTCCTAGACAGTCGCTTCCCATCTTGTATGTATGGAACTGATTGTTCCTTCCTAAGTGGAGCACTTTGCATTTCTCTTTATTAAACCTCATCCTGTTTACCTCTGACCATTTCTCTAACTTGCTAAGGTCATTTTGAATTATGTCCCTATCCTCCAAAGAAGTTGCAACCCCACCCAATTTGGTATAATCTGCAAACTTAATAAGCGTACTCTCTATCCCAATATCTACATCATTGATGAAGGTATTGAACAGTACGGGTCCCAAAACAGACCCTTGCGGAACTCCATTTGTTATCCCTTTCCAGCATGATTTAGCACCGTTAACAACAACTCTGACTACGGTTATCCAGCCAATTATGCACCCACCTTATCGTGGCCCTATCTAAGTGTTCCCTCCCCCTCCAGGTTCTCAGCATTCACACACACCCCTGCACCCAGTTTTCCAGAGTGCCAGGTGGGGCCATGGCAGGCAGGGAGCCAGCTGGGGCTCTTGTGGCCAGATGCAGCCTGCAGACCATCTTTTGTGCCCAGCCCAGGCTAGCGCCAGTTTCTCCATTTATAGCAGGCAGCAGTAGCTGCCACTTCTGTTCCTTTGAGAAGGAAAGTATACCACCGCCCCCCACCTTCTCCAGCTGATCAGCTGAGCTCCCTGCCTGTGCGGGAGCTCTGAACCTCTGGCACTGGGATCAGAAAAGGGCTGCTCATCCACATGGACACACAACTTACAGGGAACCTTGTCTGATACAAACCTGAGTAAAATTAGTGTTACAAGATTTTAAAGGTTTTTTTTTTTTTAAACAGGACATTTTAAACCTTGCTATTTTCTGTACAAAAAAATTATGTTTGGTGATAAAGTTTTTACTCACCACAATAGGACAGATTGTGGCTAGCTGATCATAAAGGCATCTTGCTTCAGAAATGCTGCAAGCCTGGAATGTTACCTGTTAAAAGAAGTAGGATTCTTACATAAAAGCAGGTCAGTAGGCTTTGTTGATAGCATCAGACCACTTAATGGAACCAATATTCTGAAATTCACTTCCACTTTGCATTTTAATGTATCCATGTACTGAAGAAAACTGATCTTTGCTGCCAGTGTTTCCAGTAAACCGTGTCACAAACATCAACATTTAAATGTTCATTACAGATTTTAAATTGCAATTCAAGGGCACAAAGGGCTGGTCTCCACTTATTGGGAAAGTGATGCTGTGGAGACTGATCTCCTAGGGTTTGATAACGCAGGTCCAGAAAGACCTGCTAAATCAGGGATGGGGAACCTGTGGCCCCTGGATTCAGCCCCTAAGGCACAGGGCTTCCCCCACACCATTGGGAAATTCACCCTAGTGCTCCAGCCCCCCACCGTTCCTCTGCGGAACGAGAGTGCACAAAATCTACTAGTCTGGACCAGTGTTCCCTCTACACTGGGCAGCAGCCCAGCTTTACAGGTGATTAATCAGAAGTCAATGAGCTTCCATGCATGAAGCCCTGAGCCCCTGACTGGGCAGGACTGACTAATCACCTGTGAAGCTGTGTTGCCACGCAGCTTTGAGGGAACATTGGCCTGGATCCCACTGGGCTCTGGTGTGTGACGGAAGAGGCAAATGTGGGGAGTGTTTCTCCTCAGTGGGGGACACATGAGTGAGGATTCTTTTTCGCACTTCTCACTTGTGTGCGGCTCCCAACTGCTTTTTCTGTGGGTCAGCAGCTCCCAACCCAAAAAAGGTTCCCCCACCCCTCCGCTAAATTGACCACTGATGGTGCCCCATCGACTCTGGTTCTCCACCAGATCATGAGAGGAAGGGAAGATAACAGAAGAGTTTCTCCCATTCACCTCCCACAGTGGGGATGCTGTAGAAATTTTACCTACGGTATGTCGACACCAGCTATGCTATTCACATACCCAGAGTTGCTATCTTAGGTTGACTTTCTCCAGTAGAAAAAGTCGACCTTAGATGGTGTAGATATCACTCAAAATGTTAGTCAGAACCAAGAGAAACTGAGGACTAAATTAACATGAACTGATAATTTGCCTTTCAAGCAGGAGTCAACTCCCCTAAAGAAACAATCAGCAAGAATTACAAAGTACAGGCAGTCCCTGGGTTACGTACAAGATAGGGACTGTAGGTTTGTTCTTAAGTTGAATTTGTATGTAAGTCAGAACTGGTACATATTGTAGGGGAAACTCTAGCCAAACATTTCTCCAGAGCTCAGTTTTATTCTCCCACACCTCACTTCCCTCAGTCCTTTATTCTCAAGCTGAGGTGTCTGCTGAGAAAAGCCACTCCACGTCTCCCTGGTCTGCTGGGGGAAGCAGCTAGTGCAGGGTTGCCTCACCCCGTTTGTAAGTAGGGATCCGATGCAAGTCGGATCCATGTAACCCGGGGACTGCCTGTATAGCATTTGACAAGAGAAAAAAAAAAAAAAAAAAAAAAAAAGAAGCCTTTAACCCACGATTCTTTTGTGGTCTCGAACCGAATTATAGGCTAATTACATTTTGGGAAAGTGTAAGTGCCTTGTGCCTGTAAATTTAGGTTAGTCTGAACGGGAGAGAGGCCAAGATAAAATTGTAAGAAAAAAGTCACTATAACACTTTTAGGGCACAGTAGCACAGTTCATACGGTCAGTTAGCCTGTTGTACACTAGCATGCTACAAACTCACAGCTCTACTTGCCATGCACTAAGTATCCATGTAGATAAATCCTGAGTTAATTAAAAGGCTTTTTACCCCTCATTTCTCCATTTTAAACTTTGCAGCATAACAAAACAGAAGCCATCCCCGAGAGAACTGTACTTTCCTTGTTACCACTTGAATTCAAGCAGCAGAGACTGCTGTACCAAGAGATAGAGAATGAAATGGGATCCACAGTGGGGTGATACCTCCCCCAGAGCTCAACTAGATCCAGTAGTGTGTAGGCAAGATCATCCCAACACTGGAGACACTAGGACAGAGGGCTTAAGAAAAAACTGCAGAGAGGCAGCCACCAGAACTTCTAGCTGGCACGGGAAGCAGCAGCAAAGCTGGGACCTTTGGACACTGGGAGAAATTTCTGCAGTTTTCATTGAATTGCTTCAATCTAGGGATGTGAACAATTAGTCGAGCAAATGCTTACTGGATAGTCAACACTGTAGTTGAGTAGTTGTTCCTCCCCACCTCCTTGCTGTCTCTTATCAGAAAGAGGCAGCAAGGGGTGGTGGGAAAGACGAGGGGGTGTTTCAGAGCATCAGCGCCATGTAGAGTCCGGGATCACCAGGGGACTCCCTTGCTGACCCTGGGCTCCATGTAGCACTGCTGCTTTGAAATGCCAAGTGGAGTGGAGTGTCAGGCTCTATGCAGCATTTCAAAGCGGTAGCGCTGCATGGAGCCCAGGGTCAGCGGGGGAGTCCCAAGCTGATCCCGGGATCCATGGGGTGCTGCTGCTTTGAAATGCGGTGGGGAGCTCAGGGCCAATGGGGGACTGCCTGGCTGGCCCTGTGCTCCCTGCAGCCTTTGCGCCTTTGAAGTGTAGTAACAGCCCTGGGTCTGATGCTACACTTCAAATGGCAGAGGCACCCTTATAGACTAATTAGCATTGACTATTCGATTAGTCAATTGAAATTTGACATCCCTACTTCAATCCTGTACTGATTGGCTGTTTGCTTCCACCTTCTCAAATTCCCCTTCTGCACAGTCTCCTCATTTCAGCTTCATGCTACATATGCCTCTGACTTTCTTCCCCGTTCTATCCCCCTCCTCTCTCATTTATCTTATCCCCTTCCCTAAAAACCTCTAACTATTCAATAACAATCGTGAAACCAACTCAACCCTGCCCTTTGCCCGCCTTGTCCATTTAGGTTGTGAACTCTTCAGGACAGGGCAGTCTACTACTCTGTACAATGCCTAAGATATCTGGGCACCCCTCTACATTGGTTTTTAGGCAATACCACCACAAACATTAATAAAAACATTGAGAGTACAAGTTGTTAGTTTTCCTAATGAAGAAATTACAACTGAAATGGCATAAAATATAGACATCTTCAGACACCTGACCCCTAATACTAAATCCCACTACAGTTCCCTGAAGGAAAATGTAAATACTTTGAAAGGTTTATAACTGCTTTCAAAAGAACAGTTTAGCAATGGAACAAGACAAAACATAGCTTTATTCCTGCCTCTTAAATTTAATAGGAGCACTCAAAGGGATCTTCTCTAGTCCAGTTTTGCTCACAACCAATTTAACAGGGTAGACTGAATTCAAGTGATTTAAATAATGTATTTAAAATAATCATTTTAATTATAATTTTTACCAATCAATTTTTCATCTTATTTGGCATTCATTAGTTAACTATCCTAAAGCAAAGCTGATTCTCACTGCAGATGGCCATTAAAACGTTGATTTGGAACTAAATGTACATCAGTTGCACTAAATTTGGTGCTTCTTTTTACTAACCAGGAGACTATAACAGTATACATTTAAGCAACTCTGTAGTTGATATCCCTTTCTTATTTCAGAAAATGGTGAATGATATATATTTTACTAGATTAATTTGCTTGTCATTGGTGTCTAGCTCTATTTGGATGGAAATTCAAATTAAAAATATGCTGAAACAGTATTTTAAAATATAATTAAAATACCCTGAATATATCGGAAAGAAAAAAAAATTGAAAAGTATATCTACACACAGAAAAACCCACAGCTTGTCCAGCCAGCCAGTTCAAGCTGTAGGAATGTCTCATTTCTGTGTAGACTCCTAGGCTAAGTCTACACAGCAGTGATTTTCCTGCTCTCTGAGCCCAAGTCAGTGGCACTAGCCAGTCATGTTTCTCTGCTGTGTAGATATACCCAAATACAGGCAGTCCCCGGGTTACATGGATCTGACTTACATCGGATCCCTACTTACAAACGGGGTGAGGCAACCCCGCACTAGCTGCTTCCCCGCAGCAGACCAGGGAGACGCGGAGCGGCTTTTCTCAGCCGACACCTCAGCTTCAGAATAAAGGACTGAGGGAAGTGAGGTGTGGGAGAATAAAACTGAGCTCTGGAGAAATGTTTGGCTAGAGTTTCCCCTACAATATGTACCAGTTCCGACTTACATACAAATTCAACTTAAGAACAAACCTACAGTCCCTATCTTGTACGTAACCCGGGGACTGCCTGTAAACTGAAATGAAGGAATTCTTTTCACTTTTAAATCGCCAGGCCCAACAGCAGCTGTGCTCTTAGCCCCTCTTGTTGGCGGCCCTGCTTACATATTTCTTTTGTCTATTTTGATGATTATGTGAATGAGGAGCAAGAAACCCACTTTCAGTAAGCCTGAACAGACAGGCTACGTCTACGTTGGCCCCTATTACGGAATAGGCATGCTAATGTAGCACTTGGGAAAAGGCAAATCCGCGGGGGATTTAAATATCCCCCGCGGCATTTAAATAAACATGTCCGCCGCTTTTTTTCGGGAGAAAAGCGTCCAAACTGAGGGCTTTATTCCGGAGGATCGCGCCAGTCTGGACGCTTTTCTCCGGCTTATCTCCAAGCCGGAAAAAAGCGGCAGCCATGAAAATGCAAATGCCGCGGGGGATATTTAAATCCCCAGTGCATTTGCCTCTTCCAAAGTTCTACATTAGCATGCCTATTTCGTAATAGGCGGCCAGTGTAGACACAGCCACATAGTTTCAGTCATTAAGTCTGTTTTTATTCTTGACTTCTAAATCTGAAATAAAAAAAATAATGCTGCTTTGGTTTATAACTCCACCTCTCTCTCTGGCCTAGAGCAAATCAAATTAAATTTGTCTGAGCTCTTCCAGAAACCAGAGTAACACAAGACTGCTTGAAAGCGCTTCATACAGTTAACAGCCCTGGAGCAAGTAGAGCTAAGCAGGGATGCCTAAGGAACATACTGATGGGTAACCAGCAAACAAGCCTTGGTGAATGGTCGAGTGCAAAGAACCGTCTGTCTTCTAGGTGGATTTGTCTTCAATACCATAGCAAATGCACTTCCTGAGTCCCTTGTGAGAACGACGTACCAGTCTGGAAGCACGAAGATAAATTTATATTCTAGTTTCTATAAGCCAGTATACACCTAATCTGAGTTGCTTCAATCAAGATTAAGCTGTAAATTCTTGATGAGTATCTTAAATCACCCACAGTAATTTTAGTTACTTGGTTTTCCTTTGTGGGGGCAGTATGTAGTATTTGCTGAATATGATGATAGTCTGGGATCATGGGTAATTCTGCAAGCAAGTTTATGATAGAAAATGATATGTAAATGCAGATTTGTAAAAAAGCTCCAAAATCATCATTTCAGAGACAAGGGAACCAGGAACTTATTCACCCAAGCTCCCAGCTGCAGGTCCTCTGGCTGGTAGAAGCTGTGGTAATACAATGTTATTGGAAGTGGATTAGGTTGGATATTATTCAAATGCCCTCTGAATACAATGATAAAAACAACAAACATTGAATAATTAAGTGGCTATATACTTGAAAAGTGCTTCATGTTGATTTGAAAAAAAGGCAGCAGTAAAAAAGAAAATTCACTAATACTGATTATCGTTATTATTTCAAGAAATGTACTGAGGCACTGGTTAAAAGAGCAGCATTTTGTGGACCATAGCTACAAAAGATCCATTATATGACAATAACTACCCTCAAAGTAATTGATGACAAAATCCTTATTCTTACTTTGGTTTTGATCATTTAGGCATAAAAGGGGAGATGGAAAGTACTAACTGCTGAATCTTTGAGCACTAACACTATGGAGGATCCAGTTAAACACAATGCTCAGAGGTACCTTACATGCAATAAGGGCATACACAAACTAAATTTGGCAAGCTTGAACAGGACACTGAAGATGTTGGGGATGTTTACGAAGAAAAAAAAAAAAACAGACCTTTGACTAAGTCAGTCTCATCTCTGACACATATGCAGAGGAATCACTTAAAAATATTACCAGAAAGGACTCCTTGGTATTGCTCCTATCCAATTCAAATCCCTGACACCACAAACATCTCCAATGTCACATCGATGAAGCAAATGTCACGTACTTCCATGCATATCTTGTAAGAAAAATGCTTCAGCATATAAAAGAATTGCTCAAAAAAAAATCAATTGACATAATGAAGCTGCTGCCTTGCACTATTTAATCACATTTCTTTGTAAAATTATAGGCTAACGAAATTATTTTGCATGTCGTCAATTTAACATGCAGTAGCACTACTGAACTACAGATTTTTGCGCAAGAAACATGTTCTAGTAGTCAGATGGTAACCAAGACTTCTTCAAGTTTCTGGTTTTGAGGAACACAATTGCTGTATAAATACTTAAGGAACCTCTACACTGTCGCGCATAGCTCGAAATAAGCTATGCAATTTCAACTACGCAAATTGCATGACTTATTTCGAGATAGCCTATTCCGAGATTTCAAAATTTTGTGCTGTCTACAAAGCACCAAATTTTGAAATAGAGCGCTACTCCAGCATCTTCCTTATTCCTCGTACAAGGAGGTTTACAAAAAGCTAGATGAATAAGATGAACATTATTTCAAATCTATTTCGAAACAACAAGTGTGCTGTTAAGACACAAAGAATGCTATTTCGTTATCCTGAAATAACGCCACTGTGTAGATATACCCTCAGATGTGTTCCTATCACTCAGACCATTAAAAACCACTAACTACGTTGCCAGGTTTCCACTCTCTCTTAGGATGAGACACTACTGAAAATCTTTATGGATATATCAAATTATCTTACTAGAAGGCATTGAGATTCATCTTCCAAAGATACTCTCCTTTAAAAGTGCTTGGAATGGACACCTCCATTAAGTTTATGGCAACTGAAAACATTCATATACCGAGTTTACCATTTGAAGACCAATATTAGGACATTTGCAGAGCTACACTGTTGGATGCTTTTCCAAAAAGCACAATGTTTGTGGGGAAAAAAAAAGTCATCGACATGGGGCACTTTACATCTGCTACTACAGGGCAAATTATCAAACAAAGGAATGGGTCTGGGATGGTCATGCATATCCAGTATCATCTCCTTGACCTTTTCATCACTAAGTTGCCTATGGCATGAGATTTTACTATATTATTCTCCCAGACTATTATAAAGACATTGAGTGTCTATATAGATCTCAGTAAGCTGGATTTTATATAATTTTAGATAAGACTACAAAAATTATTGTATATTTGATATTTACAAACAATACATACACAATAGTAGAAAGTATGGACAGATTTGAACAATTATTGATGCTGCAAAAGGAGTCTGATTGTATTACTTCATGAATCCTCCCTAGCCAGATTTGTAGTGAGCTTTCTCCCCTTCATGTCATGTGACTTGATGTTAGTTTTTGTTCATTCATTCAGAGTCTTAATCTGGAACAAAGGTGCTTTGAAATGGATTATTACAAGTGCAACCTACAAAATGCTGTGAAACAAGCAGCATTTAGAAGATTCTATTTAAGTCTATGGAGGCATAACATAATGATCTCTTCCTGGTTACCAAGGAAGCAGTAGTAACAAAGGCAGAAGCTATCATCACAAAGTCAAACACACAGGAACTACCTCAGCCATCTGCCCCTTATACAAAATTGCTACCGTAGAGTGACACTCAGAATAACCAGATACTTAGGCTTTGTGGAATGTCAAACGGTTATAGTATCTTACGTAAAATCAATTAGTAAGTAGGGAAGAGAGACAGAAAGATACAGAGGGGAAGATCTGCTTTTGCAGGGATTATGTGCCCATCAGTAAACAGCAGAATTAATTAGGAAGTTCATAGGATGAACTAAGAAAAGAATACACCAAAATATATCTGAAGTTTTCATTGTTTTCAATTTTTAAATGGCACTATTTAAAAGGTGCTCAGTAATTTAAGATGTTTGAGAGTTTTCCCTAACACTGTTCTTATTTCTTTGATCCCTCTCTGAAAAGCCTACCTGCAGGCTAGATAACCTGGTAACGAACCTCACCTATTTCCACAAAGTGTGGCCTGCTATGGACTAAAGTGAAATTCTGCTTAAGATTTTTCACCAGTCCAAAAATATAAGTCAGTCCTTATTTGCAGGTCTTCCACATCTTAACATGCAGTTCTAAGACAAGGTGCTTGGCCAAATAAAGGGTCCTGTTCAGCACAGTTCACAAGACATTTAAACCCTGGCCTCCAAATCTTGCTCTCCCTACCAATGAAGGCCAACAGTAGGCCATACCAGTGATAAATTTAATATAGCCTTTTGTAAATAAGTTAAATATTGGCAAATTATCATGTTATAACATAAAATTAGACAATGGTGAATTGCTGACAAGCCTCAACTGCATTTTGAGAAAACATCACACTGTTTTAATAAGCTTTATGAGTTGATTAAAAGACCTAGCCCTGAGGAAATAGAGAAATAGATTTCTTTAAGGACAGCATATCTAAAGAATAGAGCAATTTAGAATAGAGAATGTAATTGCATTTATCTTTGATCATTCTGAGACTCAGATGCATTTTACCTGAAGGCAGCAGTTGCCCATTCCAAAACCCATGGCATCCATATATATATGGTCTGGTTTGGCTGCTTTTGCTGCTTCTCCATCATCCTTAGGAAATGTTTCTACAAATGGCGATGGAGTATTCTTATCTTTAAATACTGTAAGGAAGATACAAGAATTCAATAAGTAAAGTACCAGACATTGATTACTTGAAGAAACCACTGGCATTTACTCACTTGGTACATTTATCACCACTTTCTCTCCTCTTCGGTGTCGAATGTTTCTTGTCAGAGTACTAGAACGTAAAGAGTTTAGGATGAAATGCTTTTACTAGGAGAAACTTCTAAATATTTGTCCATTTAGCCCCTCTCATTTGTACTGTAGCAGATTTGGTCCTTCACTGAAGTCAATTTATTTTTTGTTGCAAGGTGTTACATATCACAAGCAGAACAAAAAAAGCCCATAATCTAGAATGGGACAAGAAGTTATATTGGAAAAATAAGTACACGATATAGTTTTACAAAGGTTAAATCTCATACTGTAATAAAAGCTTCTGGAAGCTAGACAACATTATCCACCTCAAATAGGCTAGGCTCCAGCTCAACTCCAGGATGGTTGTGATATTTCCCAAACAAATGCTGCAACATCATTTGGAGCAGAAATTGGATGACTGAGTCAGTGTAACACCAACAGGAGGAATCAAAGCTGGAACCTCTGGAGCTTAGTGCATGTGCCTCTGCGGCATGAGCCAAAAGCCAGCTGGCTCTCAGCTAACCCTGTAGAGAAAACTCATTCTGTCTCTCACTGTAAGTGGTCTATATGCTTAATACACGGGATAGTGATCCATACCCGCTAGGTGTGTTGGTTACACCAGCACTTAAGGGAAACAGTTAATATTGAGTACATTACCTTAAAATTGATTATGTGATGGGTTATGCCAGTATCAATCTAAACTTGTTGAAATTGCATTATACAACTTTACTGGTCACCTTTATAGTTAATATGCAACATTACCTCTTTGTCTATGTCCCAGGGACTTGTACAGCAATTATTCATGCAGCTTTGCATACCACTTATACAACTTTATCATAGTATATTAAATTATGCACGAACAAGAGTTGCTCTCCTTCCTCCACACTCACTCTTACCTAAATCTAGGATGTTTGTTGATGGCTTCATCTGGAAAGAAGAGAGACTTTGAAGCTCCTCCTTCTACGGGCGTTGGCTCACATTCTGGCAGCGTAAAGCCTGGACACCCTAATCTAGCGATAACAATACAAGTTATAAATTAAACAGATAAGTTTGTTATTAAATGTCAGCGTTAGACTATGGTCTTAAAAGACAAAGGAATAAAAAAAGTGAAAAAAATGAATCAGTATTTCTAAGACACTTTTCAGTGTAACTTAAACACCAGGGTTACGTCTAGACTGGCATGATTTTCCTCAAAAGCTTTTAAACAGAAAAGTTTTACTGTTAAATGCATTTGCGGAAAAGAGCAGCTAGATTGGCATATACGCTTTTCCGCAAAAGCACTTTTTGCGGAAAAGCATCCGTGCCAATCTAGACGTGATTTTGCACAAGAAAGCCCCGATCGCCATTTTCGCCTTCAGGGCTTTTTTGCGCAAAACAGTTTTTAGCTGTCTACACTGGCCCTCTTGAGCAAAAACATTTCCGGAAAAGGGCATTTGCCCGAATGGGAACGTCAAAGCATTTGCGCAAGAAGCACTGATTTCAGACAGTAGAATGTCAGCGCTTTTGCGCAAAATCAAGCAGCCAGTCTAGACGCAGCCCAGTAGTCATTGACACAGAGAGGGGCCTTATGGCAATCACTATTAAAAGGTCAGCATTTGCCAACAATTAGAATAGTTTTAGGACTGTGGTTACAGTAAAAAGGAATTTCATACCACTGTATGTCAATGGATAGCAAATGCTTGCATTTTAACGGCAAATGCTAGAAGAAGCTTTAGAAAATAGTCCTCGTGTATGTCTTAGCATGCATTAAAACTACTGAATATTAAAAGGGAAACACAATGACATTCGCTACCCTCAATTGCTCCTTTTTATGGTGCTGTTTAATTTAGATTACTTCAGGGATATGTCCAATAGTGCTCACAATATTTTACTTGTCATTGTTAAAAGTATAAAGTCAACCTGAAAAAACTAGTCAGTTTCAGAAAGTAGCAGTTCTTTTACCAACTGATGGCTCAGGCATTGTTGTCCTAACTCCTTTGTAAAAAGGTATCCGAGTCTTGCCTGCATCACTGTCTTGCCCTTTTGGTACCTGAACAGGTCTTCTTTACAGATGCCTTTGATGTGTCTATGTGCATTCCATATACCTTAGCAATGGTATATTCATTTTTTGAATTTGACGTTTGTACTGCTCTAGGGAAACCTACATTTCATGTTTAGTATTCTAATAGCAACTCTTAAAGCCAATGATATGTACATATTTTATATGACCATCTCTATATACTCTTCTAATGCTTTTTTACACTATCAGAAATTGTTAAAAATACATTTCTAGTTTTTAATAAAGTCAAACAGTAGTGAAAAGTGCATGAGTGACTTACACCACATCACATGCTATGTATGATCAAGGAAGGCTATGCTCGTTAGAGCAACCACCAGTATTGTAAAATAAAATCTGGCTGAATACAAAAGCAAGCAAGTCAGCATACCCTAAGACACTCAAAGAAAATATTTTTGGATGTTTTGGTATATTTCATGTAACGTAGCATTTGTTACAATTAACTTCAAGACATTATATGCTGCCTTATTAGATAAAAAATATAACATTTCTCACTAACTGGCATACGTCACATAAAATCTACATGACCAAACAAACATCACTACTCTGATCCTTGAGAGAAGCCTACTGATCTGACCAAAAACTATTCCGGTTTATTTTTAGCTTGGCCAATGATTTGCTGTGAAACTTCAGTCAAATTCTAATCTGTGTTTCAGGATCTGTAAAATGGGCGTAATAACGCATACTCACTTTTCACAAGTGTTTTGAGATTTACAATTGGACAATCCTACAAGCACCACTCATTTATTTTAATGAACACATTTCTATAACACCACCCCTCCATACACATATACATCTCCCAGGCAGAAATAGTACAGTGTAACAGCTTTTATTGTTTCTCAAACTTTACAAGTGTCTGCAGTTTAAGGGCTGCACCCAATGTATAACACCTCATCAACAAAAAATTATCTGGACTTTGTTCCACCAAATAAGACTTTAAAGGTGTTAAGAAATATCAGCTTAAATGGACCAAACCAGTCTAAGTAATTTATACTATGCTAGAACAGTGCTAAATTCAACAAACTCTGCCTCATACTATCCAAGCCTTGCCCAATTCTATTTTGCCTGCTTTCCTAGGATTAAAATTGTATTTTAATTCTTCATGATGAGGGTGGGACTGCAGATTTTTTAATTAAGCTGTAAATTTATGTAACCTTTTAACAAGACTATAATGCACTGGACAGATGAAGTGCATGAATTTATACACTTCATATTAGTGCAGACATAACAAATTTAAGTACGCCAATAAGTGGAAATAGAGCGACAGAATTTTCAACCAGAAGAAACATTCATGCTTCATAATCTTCCAAGGAGAGAAATGATATTTTCACGTGGAAAATTAGCATATTAAATTTAATTAACAGCCTATTAACTTTAGTTAACACATCAAGTCAGTAATGGGAGAATTGTGTTAAATAATGGGTAAAAAAAAAATCTTATTGCACAGTAAAACAGGAGGCCACTCAGCCCACAGTCTTACATATGTACTCCTCAAAACAATATACAGCACTAACCTTGGAAATGATGTCACAGTACAAACAGCTTCATTTTCTTTCAGTTCAGAAGCAGCCTCCTGCCGTCGTTTCCTCATGTTGTCTTGTACAGTGTTAAATTCAGACATGGTTCCTCCATATGGCTGCCCAGGTGTCCCTTCAATCATATAACTTCCATATTCTGGGCGCCAAAGTGTTGGGTGGCTGAAATGAAAGAACAATGTAGTTTAAATATGTTTATACAACTACAAAAGATGGATTATTCAGTATGAATTACATGGAAGACTATTACCTTTTGGAATAACATACTTGCTATTTGACTAAGGGACTCTTACATGTAGAGCTACCAGCACATGGAGGGCTGCCGCACTTATACTGACGGTGTGTCAGGGGGTCCCTGACCCTGCACCCCCATCTGCAGCCAGATGTGATTAAGCCGGCAGGTAGAACAGAAGGTTTATTTGTTCAGACACACAGCATAGCTTAGGATCCATGTTAACACAGGAGCCAGAGCAGACAATATTATTCCTCTCAGGGGGAAGGGGCTCCTGGGCCCCTTATCCTCTTTTCTTGCTCTCAGCCTCTTCATTCATCCTAGCCCAGACTGAGACTGACTCTTCCCACAGGCCCTAGCCCCCCAGCCTGGTGCATCCCCACCTCTCCTTTCGTCTCTCTTCCTGGGCAGGAGTTGTGATCCAAGTCTGACCTTCAGGTGTCTGGGCCCAATACACATCTGCAGCGAGTCATCACGAATTCCACATAACACCAGAGTAAAGAGTGAACACAGGATTATAAAAGTAGACAGCACCCGCACTATGTCACACTAACCATTAAGCAATGCCAGGGCTGCTGTGGTAACTAGGAAGACCAGATCACTTGGACCACCCGAGTTTTACTTTAATCCATCCCAGTGACATTCCATGATACCTTTCCTGTGAAAATTTGACGCAATCTGGACAAGTTCTAAGCCTTTGAGAACATCCATTTGCACATGCACAAAGATAACTGAGTATTGCAACTATATTATCCAAAGGCGCCCATCTACCGATTATGCTCCCAGGTATGCATGGCCAGGACTTTGCTTGCAATTGCTTCTTCTGGTTCACAAGTTCCTGGGCACAGAACAAAGAACAGGGAGACTCTCTTTTGTGCCTTCTAATATCCCCCTTCTGGCACCCAGACAGGGAGCATAACACCTGACTAAAACGCAGAGAGTAGCAAACTGTGCAACAGGGCATGGGTGGAAAGTGGGGGGGAAGGGGTGAAGGGAGTCGGGGTGTGAGGATCTGTAAACATTAGAAAACATCTCGCTCCAGAACCTAGAGTGTATTCTTATACTTACTAGCAGTTACTCTTAGCTCAAGTGGTAGAGGCTATAACTGTAAAGGACCAAATCTGACAGCTCATACTGGTGGGATCCATGTAGTTTGAATATACAATAGTTCTCTGCTTTCCCACCCACCCCCCACAGGAAAATACATTAAACATTTATTAAAAAGAACAATGTTGCAAGTTAAGCACTCAAAAAAAGACAGGAAGTGTCAGAATTAAGGTTGCATATATAGCTGTAATTTGAGCCCCTTGTCATGTATGCATATGATGCAGTCTTTTAAAGATAATTCTCTCCTCCAGCCGATCCCAAGACCTCTGCCTCATTCAGTGAACAATCATTCAATATTCCTTCTCATCCTCACTCAGCATGAGCCCCCAGACCCAATTTAATACATACCATATATATTTTCTATGAACACAAAATTATCTGATTTTCTCACAGGCATGTCTTGTGCTCTTACAGTATCTGAACGTTTCAAATACTCGTCTTCACAACACCTCTGGAATTAGGTGTTATCCTCACTATTACAGATGGAGAACGAAGGCACAGCAATTTCCCTAAAAAGCCAAAATTGTCAAGTGTCCACTAATTTTAGGTGCCCAACTTGACACACACAAAGCCTGATGTGTCAGAGCACTTAGCATTTTTATAGCACTTATGTTCAAGACAACTCCCAGTGACTATAGTTATACCTCTCTCATAGAACTGGTAGGGACCTTGAGAGATCATCAAGTCCAGTCCCCTGCCCTTACAGCAGGACCAAGTACCACCCCGACAGATTTGCCCCAGATCCCTAAATGGCCCCCTCAAGGATTGAACTCACAACCCTAGTTTTAAGCTGGCCAATTCTCAAACCACTGAGCTATCCCTCCTCCCCTTTGTCAGCCACAGGATCTCAGAGGTCACTGAGAAGACAGGGTACATGCACTTATGAGCATGTTCACATGGCAAAAAGGCACCCAAATAAAAACCCATACCTGTAGCAGTGAATCTCAGAACACAGATCTAGAGCTTCAGACATGAGCTCATGAGGCTCACTATGGAACTAAAAAGAGCTATATAGATGTTCGGACTCAGGCTAGAGCTTGGGCTCTGAAACTCCTCTTGTCCCCAAAGCTTCAGAGACCAAGTCTCAAAGTCTAAATGATTTTTAAGTGCTATAGCATAAATTCAACCCTACAGACCTAGGCTCTGAAACTCATTGCCACAGAGTTTAGGGAGATTTTTTTCTTGGGGGGGATGAGGGGGGAAGAGAAGGGAAATGTATACACATGCCGAAATCTTCTGTTTACCAGAAAAGGTAAATGACTGCCCCAGTATCATAGAAATGCCAAGGCAGAAATAGGGATGTAAGCAAATAGTTAACTACCCAAAAAGCCTAAGCTTATTGGGTAGTTGAGTTGAGTACTCCACTACTCGCTCCCCACCCCAAAGTTTTATCAGAGGCAGCAAGGGACAGGGAAAGGAGGAACCAATGCTGGAAGGAGTCAGCTTAAAAACCAGTTCCCTTCAGCACCGTCTCTGCTGTGGCACCTGGTGCCCCCCCACAAAGCTGCTATCAGAAGCTGTCACAAAGCAGCCCCAGTCCACAGCTGGCTGGGGTGGGCTGTGGGCAGAGCCTGCTCTGGTAGCAGCACCTGTTCTCGGCAGCAGGGGCTGGCCGGTGCGAGCCATAACCAACCAAGCAAGCCCGGCTCAGTTCTGGCTCGCTCTGGTTAGGGACTGCTGCGGCTCTGCATTTTAAATGTAGTAAGAGCCACTTGACTCTTGCACAATTAGCCAATAATGGAAAGTGCTCTGTCGCAGCTTGCACCAATCCAGGGCTCACCACCCACCCGCTGCAGCTCTGCAGTTTAAATGTAGTAGGAGCTGGGTGCATAGGCAGCCCTGCTCCTACTACATTTAAACTGCAGAGCTGCAGCGGGGGCATCTCCTGAACCAGCGCAAGCCGCAACAGAGCGCCTTCCCTTATCAACTAATTGTGTAGTCGATACAAATTGTATTGACTACACGATTAGTCAATTACCCACCTCTTAACATCCTTACACAGAGACAGAATCCAGTTTTCCAGGGTAACACCAAACTGTGAGACCATCCTTTTCTTTCCCCTTCTTGCAACACCCTGCCTAATTAATTACACAACCTCCAACTTCTGAAACTACTAACACAGCAGTCCTATAGGCAAAATCAATCATATGCAAACTTGATTCCTGACCATAGTACCACTCATCCTGTGTAATGAACAGGGCAGTTGTTCTGGGGGAAGAGGGAGAACAGGGTATTAAAAAAAACAAACAAGAACAAAAAAACCTTACATAATTATGTAATTAAAGACTGTGCAAGGGGATTAAAAACAAAACAAAAAACAAACACAGCTAAGACTTT